GGCAAGTAAACACGATCATTTTGTTTGTCTACAAACTGCTGTATAACGTATGTTTTCTCATCGGAGAGAACCAAATTCGGCAGTTCACCATTTTCGGCCAAGCGAAGCAACTCTTTAGCTCTTTTGAGTCTATTTTCTTTCTTGCTCATTTTTCAATATTTGCGATTGGAATATTGCGATTCTTCCGTCCACTTCCTTGACGTCGGGCTACGCTACCAGTATCACGGTAACGAGCGATGGTACGAGACACAAACGATTTATTCACATTTAAATGCTGGAGTGCTCTAACGATAGCCACTTGTAGTTTTCCAGCCAAATATAAACAAATCACACTATCACACATGAATTCCATCACGAATAACTTTTTTGTGTGGAAAATTCTCACCAAAATGCTTATGTACGCTTATAAACAATATAATGAGTTGTCACGAGTAGCTTAGAAATGACAGCAGTCTGAAGTTGGTTGCAGTTTTTTTCATCTTACCCTGTAGAGTATAAAATATATGTTTTTTGTTTTACTTGCAGGAATACTCCATCCCAAACTGGAGTGGAAAACTAGCATTTCTGAGATCTGATCAAAATTATTTTTGTTAATTTTTTTTTGTTTGCCAAGGTTAAAGCTTTAATCGTATTTCTGGAAATATTTTTACCAAGGCTAAAAGTGTTTGTGTGAAAATATTTTTTTCCAAATGTGTCACAGTTATAATCAAGATTTAAAGAGTAGAACTATTATTAGGAAATTTAAAAAATAAAAACTCTTGCTATTTTCAACTTTTTTTAAGGTGTGCCAAAGTGGTTCTCTATAGGTATATTGTTCCATTTTTTGCTGTTGCTATCTTGGCGAATATAAAAGGTGGTTTCCCACTAATTGGTTTGTTACGCTTGATTTCATTCTCGTCGAAATATTTATTTAGAAGCTAAACAAATTAAATGGGGAAAATAAACTTTATTTGTTTGTAAACAAATTCATTTAGGCGACATTAGTGTGGGGATAGGTGACACGGACGTCATCACTGCCACTCAAATCGATAACTGGCTGTTGGGCAAATAACGAGTCTGGTACCTAGAATTGTTATTATCACCTTACTTTTTTGGGAATTGTAGATTGTTGGAGAGTTTATTGAGCGATACCAATAAAACTGTAGATACGATAAAAAATTGGAAAATTTTTAAAAATTTGCAGAAACAAAATTATTGTTCTTCCTATTACAATATAATACAATTATATTGTCTTTTTCAATCAAATTACATTTTATCAAACTCTTCAAAAGAATTTTATCTCAAATGCCCTTTTTATCGCATTTAAATATTACAAATTGTTGTAAGTTGTAAAACAAAATTACAGGTGTATATTTTTTTAATCATTCTGGAATGTTGACTTTGCGAAAGAACGAAAACAAAATATTTACATTTCTTTTTTATGACAAGTATTTGTAAATGTAGTGTTTTATTGTTGCTACTAGGTCGTGATATGATAAAGCAAATGCTAAAAAATTATTTGCACTCAAAGTTAATGAACAAAGCTCGATGGAAGGTCTGTGTGCGTGTGTGTGTGTCATCCATTTATGCCATTAGGGAAATTACAAACAACAACAGATGTTTTGCCCGTGTAAAATGAGCCCGATTTTTATTGGCAATTAAAAAACGGAAACTATTTCTAAATCAATTTTGAAATATTTACAAAATTTTTGACGTATTTGGAAACACGATATGGAATGAATATATATTTTTTTAAGAGTATTTTTGTCTCAGAAATCATCCACCTAAATGTTTCACGGAACTATTTTGCTTAATCCAGGTGGAGTGCAACTTTGACCTTAAAATGTGTTTTTATGGCCATATGGCTCCTAACTATGGCAATTTGTACGGCCAGAACGTGCCTTATCGAAATAAAGGTTTTAGCGCCCAGGTCTTTTGGACCAAGTCCGTTTCAGGACATTTGGAGTCGATCTAGAGTTGTCCGTCCATCCGACTGTCTGTCTGGTCGGTACACACGATAACTTTCGAAATAAGTAACCGACTTGGCCCAAATTTTGGTGAATCGTAATATTATTGTCAAACTTCGATAGATTTCGGAGTTAGGCAATATCGGTCCACTCCTTCTGGTACCTCCCCCACAAAAGGTCGAAATTAAAAAAAAAAATACTTAGAGAGTATAATCCGATTTTGCTTAAAATTTCTTAATCCTAATAAAAGGTGTTTCATCCCCAAAAGGTCGAAATTTAAAAAAAAAATAAATAAATAAATAAATAAAAATAAATATTTTACTGCACAAAAGGAGAAAGGATTATCCGATTTTTCTTAAACTTTGTAAATCCTAATATTTGCATCAGTGCTAAGTCAGGTGCGAAAATATCCAATATCCGTCCACTCTATCCAGTACCTCCTCAACAAACGGTTAAAATTTTAAATAATTATAACTATCATAACGTGTGATTTATGTTCCCGATTGTCTTCAAATTACACACATCACAATATTTTTATTAATCCAAGGTCTGGTAGGAATATGGAATATATCGGTCAACTTCTTTTGGTACCAACACCCCCTCCCCCCCAAAAAAAAAAAGAGTCAAAATTTTCAAAACATATATTTTTGCACAGAAAGAGAAAAGATATTCCGATTTTGATCCAACTTTGAAAATCCTACTATTCGCATCCGGGCTAGGTCTGGTGCGAAAATCGAAAATATCGTTCCACTCCATCAAGTACCTTCCCCACAAAGGGTCAAAATTTTGAATAATTATAACTCTTATAAAATGTTCCGTAAGAGCCCGATTGTCTTCAAAATTTTCACATCCCAATATTTTTATAAACCCAAGATCTGGTGTGAAGTTGGAATATATCGGACCACTCCTTCTGGTACCTCCCTAACAAAAGGTCGAAATTTTGAATATCCATTAAGCTCTTAAAACACGAAATTAACATCCGAATCCATTCAGGCTTGGCACATCTCAATATTTCCATAAACACAAGATCTTTTATAAAGATGGTAGAGATCGGACCATTCCTTCTGGTGCCTCCCACACAAAGGGTCAAAGTTTTGAATAACCAACACGATTATAAAATCCGAAATAATCATCCGCTTCTCTTCAAATTACACACATCCCAATATTTTTTTAAACCCAAGATCTGGTGTTAAGATCGAATATATTGGTCCACTCCTTCTGGTACCTCCCCCACAAAGGGTCAAAAGTTTGAATATCCATTAAGCTCATAAAACGCAATATTAACATCCGATTCCATTTAGGCTTGGTACATCTCAATATTTTCATAAACACAAGGTTTGTTATAAACATGGTACATATCGGACCATTTCTTCTTTGAAAAACAACACGCTCAAGTAAAGCGGAACTCTCTTCAAATTTCACACATCCAAACATTTTTGCTACCGCAAGATTTGTTGTGAAGATGATATACATCTGCCAAACCCTTATGGTACCTCATCCACAAAAGGGTTACAATTTCCAATACTTATATTTGTCATAACATGCGAAACAAGTCGGCGATTCTTTACAACTTGCTCTATCTACATAGTTCTCTTAACCAGAAATCTGATAAGAATGTGTAATTAATCGGAATTTATCTGTATTAGATGCAGTATGAAAATGGAATACTTCAGTCCCCTATATCTGGGACCTCAAGCATTTTTCCACATTTTCCAAAAAATTCCAAATCTTTTATATAAAGTATAGGAAGTAGTCGATATAGTCCAAATCTGGCAAGTTGCAATATTTTTATCAGTCTTAGATCAGATACGAATCGGTCAATATTGGCCAACTGCTTCGGAACCTCCCCCATAAAGGGTCAACAGTTTGAATAACTTATATTTATTTACCTTCAAATCCTCAAAAATCCAGCTGAATAAGCGTTTTCTTATTTTTGTTTTTATATAATTTTAAATTTCGTTTTATTAATCTTTATTGATTTAAATATTATTTACAAATTCTTCTGGTCGTTATTTATATGTAAAAAAAAACTAAATATTCACACTTGGTGTAATACCATATTTATTTTCTTATTATATTTCATTTAAAAAATAATGAGGCATTTTCGATAAAAAAATAACTGGCATAAATATTGCAAAATATAATTAAAACTAAAAATTAAATTAATTTAAAATTTAATTAGTCTTTTTATTAAATAAATAAAACAATTTAACAAATTTTTTGTGTTATTAGAAAAATTATGAATAAAACATTAAAAAAAAATATTTTTAAAAAAATTTAGTATACAATGTTTAGTCGTTTAGTGTACAAGTTTTATTTTTTAAATAAAATAATTATAATTCTATCATTTTAATTATAATCTTTATGTATTTAAAATTATTTAAAGCCTAAAGTGTTAGGAACACTTTAACCATTTTTCTGAACTTTTATTTGAGACAAATAAATGTACATTTTATACAAATAACAAAAAAAAAAAAAATTATTTAAAAAAGGTGGGACTGAGAGTGCTTAATTGTTGAGGAAATGCCAACTTGCCAAAGCGCATATTTTTTATAAATTCTGCCATATATACAAACACTGTCAATACTTTTTTACTTTAAATTCTTAAAATTTCTTTTAGTCTTGTTCTGTAGAATATTTTTTTAGTATAAAATAAAGTGTATTTTATTTTAAATTGTATGCATTGTATTTTTAATTGGAAAATCTATTGGGAAAATCATTAAAAGAATGGTATGTGAAAGATATTTCGTCGGAAAAAGAGAATTTATTTAATTTTATTTATTTTAGATACCGTTCAGATAAATTAAACAAATGTATGTAATGGTACTCAAATATGCAACAAAAACTACTCTTTCTTCAAATATAGTATGTTGTTCCTACATTCCAAAACTATTTTCTTATTATTCCCTACTTTATCACAATTTGTGTTCACTTTTATATATTTGCGAAAAATATTTTGTAATGTTTTCATAATTCTATTCATATTTTATTATTGCAGATACTTCTCGGGTTTCTAACATAGAAAACATGCAATACTTCTCAAATATCATGCAACTCGAATAAAGTATGAAGTTCATACATTCCAAAACTATTTTCTTATTATTCTTTATATTACGACTACCTGAGCTCACTTTTAGTCTCTTGTTTATAGTGTGATGCCTTGAATTACTTGACTCTCAGTGAGGGTTATTTTCTCCATACACATAATCAACACTATTGAAATACAATGTTAGCAGAGAGTAACAAAATTGGGAGAACGTAAATGTGCAACTCTCCGAATGGCGTGAGCATGCATTAAACTTAAAAGTATATGCCATTTTCTCGTAGCTTTCATAAAACAACCACAAATCAACGTTTAGTTTTTAATTAATTTTAATATATTTTTTTTTAATGATATTAGACAATACTGATCTTTCACAAAGTTTAAAAGAGTTATTAGCAGTCAAGAAATCAATTATATTCTCCCTTTTTTTTTTCTATTTTGCCTATACTCTACTGATGCAAGTCGGAAAGTGTCAATTTCTCTTAAATATTTAATGAAGTGTTTGTTAGTCTCTCTTACTTTTTACTCTCATTATTATTACCTAAATGGTTGTTTTGGTTTCTCTGACAAAAAATCGTTATTTAGTTTTATGAGCACCGTTCATAAAAGGCAACAATCCTAAACTTGGCATCATTTCTGTAAACCAATTCATAAAGGATTATTTTCTTAAAAAAAATCAACGTTTTTGGCTTTCTAATGATTTTATCTGTTATTAAGCCATTATTTTGTTTTATGAACGCTGTACATAAAGCACAAAAATTCTCACATTTTCAAAACACTATTCATGCAATGTATGAATTATTGTTTTTATAAAAAACATCATTCTCTATTTTCCATCATTGTTTTTGTCTGACAAGAAATCGTTGTTTAAATTTATGAACGCTGTTCATACAAAAAACTTAACATTGACAATATTTTAAAACTCTATTCCAATATTGTATGAATTATTTTTCTGTGCATGTTTTTTTTATAAAAATCTATATTTTATGCTTTCCATTATTGCTTTGCTCTGATAAGACGTTAGTATTTACTTTTATGAACTCTGTTCATAAAATTCAGATATCTGAACATTGAAAACATGTTCAGAATTCCATTCATACAATTAATGAATTATTATGAGACTGAATATTCATTGCTTTCCATCATTGCTTTTTTCTGACAAAAAAGTTGTTATTTTGTTTTATGAAAGTTTTTCGTAAATGCAGAAATCTGAACAATGCCAACATTTTCAGAACACAATTAATTAATGATTAATTTTTTCTGTGCATATTTTTTATAAGCTTCGATACTTCCCATCATCGCTTTTCTCTCAAAAGAAATCATTATTTAGTTTTATGAATGATGTTCATAAAATACAGAAATCTTAACATTGACAACAATATTCATATAATGAAAGAGTTTTTCACAGTGAACCATTTAATGAGAGTCAACACTTTCTGCCTTCCATAATCGATTTTGCCTAATAAAAAAAACTTTGTTTTTGTTTTATGAACATTGTTCATAATATGTAGAAATTCGAACATTGGTGAGATTTCAGAACACTATTCATTGAATATAAGAATTAATATTTTATCGTTTATGTTTTCATAAGAATCATTTTTTTTCTGACAAGAAATCAAAAATTGTTTTTATGACCGCTGTTCATAAAATTCAGAAATCCTAGCATTTTAAAAACAATGTTCTTACAATATATGAAGCACAATTTTTCTGTGCATGTTTTAATAAAATTCAACATTTATCAGTCATCGCTTTTGTTTGAAACAAAGCCATTTTTTGTTTGTTTTAAGAACGCTGTTCATAAAATGCAAAACTCCGAACAATGGGAACACGTATAAAACGCTATTCGTATAATATAGAAATTATTTCTCCCATGCATGTTTTCATGCTTTCCATCAACGATTTTTGTCTGACAAGCCGTAATTATTTACTTTAATGAAAACTGTTCATAAAAAGCAGAAATTCTAACATTTTTAAACCACTATTCATAAAATATTGGAATTATTTTCATTCTGTTTACGGTTTTTATATGAAAAACAAAATTTTCTCCTTTGCATCATCGCTTTTGTCAATTAATGATTTTCCCAAAGACCTATTTACCTAAAAATCCTTGAAATCATGCCCTATGGCATGGCACACAAAATATTATTTCACAATTGTAAGGCTTACATACAAATACATACATAAATAATTTGAAATTTATTTTTTTGTTTAACTACCTAATCCAAAGAGATCGTTTTGTTTCTCACGTTTTATTTAAGACTTTTAAGAAATTCTCCATATAAGCTGCCTCTTCTAGACTTTTATTGCTCGATTGATCATCGTTTAACAGATCACTAATGGAATAGGCCGACAGGGGCCGTGAGAGGCGGCGCTGGGACAAGATATCATCGATTGAGGTAACTGGCGAAAGGGAATTGCAACCACGATAGAGGAAACCCTCTGAATCTTCCGCACTTTTGGCAATAGCTGCGAAAATATCCTCTAAACTGGATTTCATATTTAAAATGGGAACATTTTTCTCCACCGGCGACAGGGATGGGATGGGAGAATTCGATGGCGAGTTGGGCGATGACGAATGATTGGGTGACATTGTTGAGGGTGTGGCTGAGTTTATGTCACTTAAATTTAAAGCTGCCGGTATGTGGCGTTTTGTTTTCTCCGTAGTTATGGGTTCACTGTGCCAATCTCCAGTGGAAAGTTGATTTAAAATGTTTGCCGAATTTTCATTATTCTCCTCCAATTCTTGGCTAAGTTTTGATAGACGTCGTAGGACAACATTTTCTCTTTTCTTTGGTGGCTCGACTTTGTTGGCCACCACCACCTCCTTGCGCTCAAACAAATCATGATCATCATCGTCGAAATTCAGAGAACATCTACGGAAATCAGGTAATACTGTGGGTGTGACGCGATTGATTTTCTTTTGGACACCACCACTTTCAAACATTTTGGCAATTTTATTGACATTTGTGTGGGTGTGCACCTGGCGTTTATAGACATTGGCAGGTTCTTCATGGCTATTGGCCACAGGCGCTGCTGTTGTTTTTGTCGTTGCAGATTTTTCTTCCTTTTTGCCGTCGATCGTCTGCTTTTTGGGATAGACACGTGTCACCGCCTTGCGTGCCTTTTGCTTGGGCAAATGCTCATCCCCCTCCAAGACATGACAGCACAATTCGGGTCCATAACAACGATGATATTTATGGCGATTTGCTTCATAATCGGCCTTGGCAAAATCATTGATTTTTCTCAATGACTTGGGTATGAGGGTGAGGAAGACAAAAGCATAAAAAATATAGGGCACATAGTGCCACAGTTCAATGGCATATTCTAAAAATTCGGAATATTCCATAATTTCGTTATTTATTCTTCCGCTATTGAAAAGGGAAAATTTTGTTTTTTTTTTTTTCTTATTTTAGGTTCGTTTTTTGTTGTTGTTTTTCTTCACTTGTTGTAGTTTTCTTTTATCACTTTTATTGAATGTTGTGTTTTTGTTTTTATTTCATTTAATGGTTATATTGAAGTTTATCAACACCTGAAAATTGTGTTTCTTTTGTCGCTGGTATCGAATTTATTTATTGCATAACCGCACAGTTTTGAATATTTTATTGACTTTATGGAGTGTTTTTATTTCAGTTTTTCAATTTATGATTTCTTTTTAGTGTTATATTTCTATAAAGAAAATTTGAAAAAAAAAAATTGTTTTCAAGTCAGAAAGTCAGCTGTCGTTTTTCATTGCGAAGTTTTGATTTTCCGAATATATCTCTTGGCATTTAGAAAAGTTCAACAATATCTTCGTTATTTGTTAGAAATAAGGGAATGAAAATCAATTTTGGAATATTTTTGGTCGCATGACCCTTTGGTGAAAATCATTGTCCTTGTTTAGTACTCTAAAAATCTCTCACAAAGAATGTCAATTTAAAATTGCCAAAAAGCAGGAATATTTTAGATGAAAATGTTAACCCTCGAGCGATTTAAAATAGAGGGGTATTTGTGGACCTTACTACTGTTCCTAAAAGACGTCAAGAGTCTAAATCTTACCTAAACGCCAGAAATTATATATATAAATAGGGTGAGATGAAAAAACTGCTGTCATTTCTAAGCCATTCGTCCGACTGCTGTTACAATTATTCCAGTGACAGCTCATTATATTGTTTACAAGCGGACAAAAGCAATTTGGTGAGAATTTTCCAGAAAAAAAGTTATTCGTGATTCCAGGAATTCAAGCGTGATAGTGTGATCTCTTTATATTTGGCTGGAAAACCACCACCACAATTGGCTATCGATAGAGCACTCCAGCATTTAAATGTGAATAAATCTTTTATGTCTCGTACCAGCAACATCAGCAGAAATGGTTCGAAAAGTAAAGAAGCTTCGCAGTGGCCGAAAAATGGCTCGTAAGCTTAACATATCGCAATATTCCATTCGGCAAATATGGAAAAATGAGCTCTGGGTAAAACCATTGAAATTCCAAAAAGCGCAGGAACGTACACCGCAACAGAAAGCAAATAGACTCAAAAGAGCTAAAGAGTTGCTACGCTTGGCTGAAAAACGATCATGTTTATTTGACAAAGAGGTCAGCTGAAAATGCCGAATATTATCGCGAAAATCTTCTGGAGGGTGTATTAAAGCCTTGGGCACGAATTATTTTGACCTCGGACATTCCAACAGGACTCAGCACCATCGGACTCAGCACACGCCACCCAAGAATTGTTACAAAATGAGGTTCCTCGCTTCATTTCCAGCGCACATTTCCGACATTTTTTGCTTTCATTCAATAAAATTAAAAAAAAAAATGTTAAAATTATGGCGTTTGACTTCGTTGCATTTTTTGCATCTCAACCTGCATATCAGTCTATTCCTTCTGATACCTCCCACATAAAAGGTCAAAATTTTGAATATCCATGAATCACATAAAACGCGAAAGTAAGACCCGATTCCGATTCCACACAGACTTGGTATATTTTACAGGGTCATAGCGTAAGTTAAAATATATTAAATAAACGGACTTTGGTCGAGAGTATACATCCGTCATAAAAATCGGGAACAACTCTAGTTTATTTAAAACCCTTGGATTTTTTTTGAATTTTTTGCAGAGGTAGTTGTTTTACCCTGATTCCGGGAAAGTATATTTTCCTTTGGGGACGAACCCGGAAACTCGGATATTTGACAACAAAATCCGGGTCCAAAATCTGGGTTAGACCCGGACCTACTACACCGATATGGAAAATATAGGTATCGTATAAAAGCAGGAGTTGTATCAAAAGTTATTGATTTTTAGGATCAGGGTTTTTTAAAAAATTCCCATTTTTGGAGTCCAGAAAATATACGCCAAATTAAAGCTGACACTATAAACTTTCTAAAATGCTACAATATGTGTTACTATCTTTCTTGGATCCAGAGATATGGGTCTTTGAACCCGAATATGATGATTATTTTCAGTATATTGAAATGATGTGGACTCCCAAAATGAAACGACTTTTAGGGGACTTTTTAAAAAATCTGGGTCCAAATAATGAATAATTTTGATGCATTTCCGGAACCGTTTTAAAAAACCTTTATGTGACCACTCTTTGGATAGGTATTTTCATTAGCTTTGATACCTATATAGATTCCAAATGGTGGTGGTGCTGCCTATATTGTCCATAGCGCTTTAGTAGGTCCGGAATTTCGGGTCCAATATCCGGTTATCCGCGTTCGTCCTCCAAGAAAAAATAATTTCCCTGAATAAGGAATGAAAATACCCAACCCTGGAAAAATTCACCAAAATCCGAGAGCTTTTACTTTTTTAACTTGTTTTATTTAGTTATTATTTAATTATTATTTTTTTGTAATTCGCCAAGATCCTCCAAAGCAAGGTTTTCCTTATCTACCCATTATTACCAAACAAAGTCCATTCTAACCTCAACTAACAGCAAAAACAAGGAAAAAACATTAACAACTTGTCATTACAGAATTTAAATATTTTACTTTGAGTAATTAATCTATTTTTATGTTAAAAACTGAGAACATTTTATGGTCTTTTGATTTTCTATACAGAAAGAAGTGTTTTTGTTGTTGCTGTGTGCAATTTTTCGCAATTTGTTTTTGCAACAAGCGTGGCAAGCACTCTGTCCGACAAAACAAAACTTAACATTACAAACCAGATATTGCATAAAAACCGTTTAAAACATTTTCAAATTCAATACCTAGTCGGCTCTTGAAGGTAAGACACACTTGTCAATGGTTGGCGGTTTTTTGTTTTTGGTTTTGCGGAATTCCGCTTAGAGCAACAATAAACAGCTGTGTTGAGATGGGGTTTAAAATTACCGCCAAATGGAGGACAATCTTTTGTCTCTTTAAAAAATAAAATAATAAACAAAAAAAAAACATATTCTGAATAAATAATAAAAATATTGTTGAACTTTTGTTTTGCCATATTTTCCGTGGAATTTCGAAAATACCAAAATGCGATAGGTACCTTTAAATTGAAAATAACGACACTCGTTAAAATTTATGAGATCACAAAATGTTTTTGTAGATATTTTATTTTTTTGTTTTATATTATGGTTGATTGTATAATTATTGTTTTATTTTTAATATTTTCTTTGCCTGTCCCGCTGTAGTTGTTGCTTTTATTTCTATTAATTATTTGCGTAATATTGAAAACATATTTTTGCCCGCCTTCGTTTATTTTTATTTTAGTTAAACGTTGAACAGACACGTTTTGCTGTTGTTTGTATTTGCACGGATTATTGCAAAAAAATAAATAAAAAAACTAATTATTGCAAAGGTCTCCTTCTTCTTCGTCTTCTTCCGTCACACTACAAAACGCATTTTCTGCCGTCGCGTTTTAACGGTCGTTGTTTTTGAATCGAATAATTGCCGTTGACTGAAACGTTAAATTGTCCAACGACAACAGTTTGTTTAACATCGGCATGGGGAACAGATGATAAGATGAAGCCCAAAACAAAAAAAAAAAGACACACAAGTACCAGAGCTCTCACTGATACAGCAAGCCATCAACACAACATACACACAGCTATACCCAGACGTGTTTATTCTCAGAAAGAGAGAAGAGGACGGAGCAAACCCCACACATTAAGAGTAAACAACATTTCTCTTCCACTGTTTGTTTACAGTGGCGATCCCCCCCACAATGTTAAGTAAACAACATTGCCGTTAATGACTGTTTTCTTGTTTTTCGACCAAATATCTCTAGTGAGAAACGACCAATATTTAAAATGAGGAAAAAAATATTTCACTTGGAGTTTGAAAATTTTATTTTAATATCGAATTAAATTATTTGCAATTTTATTATAAATAGAAGAGATTCCAAGGGGTTTTATAGAGAGATATTTTCAAAATATTTTACATTGAAAGATATCTCCCAGAGGTTTTCTATATTTAATCTAAAGATGGAAGAGATTTCGGGATATCTTTAATGTATAGAAGAGGTCTTCTATGCATAGAGACATTTAAGAAGTCTTCCCTAAATAAAATACTATTTAAAAGGTTCTCTAAAGATAGTAGACCTTTCGTGGTGTCTTCAAAAAATAAAAGGACTTTGAGAAATATTTCGTGGATGGGAGAGTGCTATAATCGTAACTTTTTAAGAATATTTTTGAATGAATTTTTATGCCATGATCGTGAATTTTTTAAAGGAATATAAGAGCTATACTCGTGGGTTTTTAAAGAATATTTTTTGGAGGGATATCAGTTATAATCGTCGATTTTTTAGGAATAAGAATAGAATTTTTAAAGGAATATTGGAGCAGTAATCGTGGATGTTATAAGAAGATTTGTTTGGAATATTAGAAGTATAAATGTGGATTGTTAGGAAAGAAAATGTAAAGGATTATCAGAGCTATACAGGGTGAGATAAAAAAATGCAACAAAGTCCAACGCCATGATTTTTACTTTTTTTTTAAATTTCATTGAATGAAAGCAAAAAATGTCGGAAATAGCATCAGATTTTAAAATAAATTTAGATTTGTTCGAATTGGCACGAATTATGGCCTTCAAAGGGCCGAATGTTGCTCTGCGGTATTTTGGTCCATTCCCGGCGAAGCGCTTGCTTGAAGTGATCGACACTTTGGTCTTTTTTAGTGCAACGGATTGGTATCCGGAGATTTTGGTGGCCATTGTGCGCTGGAAATGAAGCGAGGAACCTCATTTTGTAACCATTCTTGGGTGGCGCATGCTGAGTGCGATGGCGCAGAGTTCTGTTAGAATGTCCAAGGTCTGCGGCCAAACTGTTTGCGTGCCCAAGGTTTTACTACACCCTCCAGAATATTTTCGCGATAATATTCGGCATTTATTCTGATGCCACAGTCGATTAATACGAGCGGCTGTTATGGCGGCCCACACCATCACCATGGCCGACGCTTGAGTTCTGTTGGCCATCCGAAGTTGTACATTTTCAGCTGACCTCTTTTAAATACGATCATTTTGTTTATTTACAAACTGCTGGACAACGAATGTTTTCTCATCGGAGAAAACCAAATTCGGCAGTTCACCACTTTCGGCCAAGATAGAGTATAACGGACTCCTCCGAAGTGATCATGTGATTGCTTTCAAACTAGACACATCCCAATATTTCTATCAATCAAATATCTGGTGTGAGATGGATTATATCGGTACACACCTTCTGGTACCTCACCAAAAACGGGTCAAACTTTAAATAAACAAAACGCTCATAAAATTCAAAAAAGGCATCCGATTCTCTTCAGATTTCAAATCCCAATATTTATTTTAACCCAAGACCTGGTATGAAGAACGGATAGAACGGACAACTGTTTCTGGTACCCCCCACATAAAGAGATCAAAATTTTAAATAAACACGAAGCTCAGTAAAAGTGGAATAAGCACCCTATTATCTTCAACTTTTACACATCCCAATATTATTTTCCGACACAATATCTGGTGTCGAGATGTATATATCGGCTTATTTTTTCTGATACCTCCCCCATTACGTGCCAAGATTTTGATCAATTATAACTCTCATAAAATGCAAAATAAGTATCTGATTCTCTTCAAATTTCACATATCCTAATATTTTTTTCAATACAAGATCTGGTGTGGAGTTCATATATATCGGCCCACCCTCTCAAAGGCTCACAATTTTCAAGACTTATATCTTCCAAAACTTGCTAAACAAGTCTGTGATTCTTTTCAAATTTGGTGTACCTAAATATTTATCTTAACATGTATGAGGCTTTTGTCAGGTTCGAAATCGACAATATTGACCCATTCCTTTATGGGGCAGGTTAAAGCGTGAATAGTTTGAATAATCGTAACGCAAGTCAAAATATATTTAAATAAGCGGATATTTTCGGCAAAACCGACTTATACCTTTTAAGTTGTTGAATTTCAAATTCGAACAACAACAAACCTTTCACATTTTTGGGGATTTTAAAGATCGCCGAAATGGCCATAATTCATGTTGTCAATTCTCTTGGCAACCCTGTTAACAACAGCCGCTGATTGGAGCCAACAGCTCGAATGTGGATTTATTGATCAAGTGCTGGCGGGCAGGCAGCATGCAACCTCTGTTAAACACTTCTGCTACTCAGGGAGTAACATCGCTGCCGCCACCACCACCTTCACAACAACAAAAATCGTAACTGCCGGATTATTGCACCGGCATTTGGCGGTTTTGTGACTTATGTTTGTTAAAGTTTTTTTCTTTATTTTGTTTTGGCTTTTATTATTTTTCCCAATAACTGGTTTCTTGTTATTATGTTTGTAATCATATTTGACATGTGTATATATGTGTAGATTTATACCGAATGTTTAAAATGCGGTACGTTCTATAATTTCAACAAGCAGGATGGCAGGCAGGCGAATGGTTGGACAGACAGACAGAAAAACAAACTTGTTAAATATTTTTATGGTTTTTTCAATGATTTCGTGATTTTCAGTTTATTTAGTTCTTTTTTTGTTTTAGCCGGTTAACGTTTAGGGTCTTAAAGGCATTGATCTCTGGTGTCAAGAAGGAGTTTGTGTTAAGAAAAATAATAAATATTTATTTAAAAGAACAGGTCTGCTGTAGGACTTCTAGATAGGCAGCAGATATTTTACAGGGGTTCTATAACAATGTCTGTATGTTGCATAACAGAGATACTTAAGTCGACTCTCGATAGATCGAATTTCGGTTTGGAGTAAGGGTAAATTTTTGTAAAGAAATTACGATTCTTCTATTGCTAAATTAAATTTTTCACATCTGCTATTGAATATCGTTACACGTCCTCAATTGACAAAATAGATGATTCTGATTGACAAAATAGATGACCTTAATCTTCTGTAAATAGAAGGTATCTTTCAGGTCTCTGTTGATGGAGGGCTTTCCTCCGTTGTTTAGAAGACCTCCTTCATCAAAATCGAAATAATGGCTTAAGAGTATCAAGAGTATGTTAGGTTTGTCATTCCGTTTATAATTATGTCGATTCTATGTTGTTTTAGCCATGTCCGTTCGTCTGTTGTAATCACGCTTGAGTCCATACGGCATGTGATAGTAACCTAAAATGTTGTATACAGTTGTCTTTTGTCTGCAGCCAGATCAATATCGAAGATGAGCCATATCGGTCAACGTTTTCATATAGCCCCCATATAATTGTATCTCCCCATATTCGGTATTTTATTCTTTAAGCAACACTTTATAACGAAATAGTTTAAAATTCGGGTTTTTGAGTTTGAAATAGGATCTACATCCTCTGGTAGAACTTTGTAGAGATCCACTTTTTCGTATGACCCCTATATAATTGTACTTCTAGATATTCGATATTTTGACTTTTGATTTTAGTCACACTTTTCAAGGGAATATTTAAAAATTCGGTATTTAGAGTTTGTAATGGTTTCTACCTCATGCGTCTACATAGGTCCACGTTTTCCTATAGCCCCCATATAAAGAAACTCCCCATACTCGATATTTTAACGATTTTGCCCACACTTTCTAACGGAAAATTTTAGAATTTGGTAGTTAGGGTTCAAAATATTTTCTAGCTTTTGTGGCAAAACGTGACTTAACTCTAGTTTAGTAAAACTCTCCATTTATTTCGAAAAAGTTTTTCAGAGGCAGTTATTTTTACCCTGATTCCGGGACGGAACCGGAATTCCAGATATTTGACCCGAAAGTCCGGGTTCAAGACCCGAGGTAGACCCGGATCCACTTACCCGATATAGACAATTTTGTTATCGTTTGAAAGCTTATGAAAACAACTATACAACAAGTAGTCACATGATATTTATAGGCAGTTCGGAAGTTTTAGTCAAATTATCGATTTTTGGACCCCGATTTATATAAAACCCCCCAAAAAGTCGAAAAAAGGCCCATTATGGGGGTCAACAAAATTGATGTGAAATTATAGCTATCACTCTTACCTTTCCAAAATGCTAAAATTCGTGCTAATACCTTTTCTGAGTCCAGAGATATTCTCTTCCGACCACGCGAACTAAGGTTTTTCTAAATGTAACAGTTGTTGTAAGTAGCTGGCCTTCGGCGGGGCTTGAGACTTTTACCTATGGGTATATCCCGCACCGGCTAACGCGAACCAAAGTTTTCTAAATTTGATACCAAAAAAAAAAAAAATATATAGTTTCCCGGAATCAGGGTAAAAATACCTATCTCTGGAAAAAATTTCGAAAAAATCGAAGAGCTTTTGCTAAAATAGAGTTGTTTTCAGAACGCTGCATGTATATGCCCACGTTGTCCCATGACTCCCATACAAAGGTACTTCCCAATATTCGGTATTTTGATGATTTTAGCCTGCTTATATTGAACAACTTCTATATAAGTAAACGTTTCCCAATAGCCTCCATCCTTTCGATGTTCCATATATATGAAAAATATTTTGGTGATTATAGCCAACTTGTTTACAGAATTGTTTGAAATATGGATTGGAATTTCGGTATT